AGATCCTGCCACTGCACTCCAGCCTGGGCAACAGAGCGAGACTCTGTCTCAAAAAAAATTTTTTAAAGCATAAAGCTTTACTAATTCTAATTGTCAGCCTGAAAGACAGAATTGTTAACTTTTTATTATAAAAATTTTCAAACATATGTAAATGTAAACAGAAGTATTCTGAACCCATATATGCCCATCACCAATTATGTAATTACTAATCTGTTTTCTTTTTTTGTTGTTAATTATACTTCTTAAGTTCTGGACTACATGTCCCGATCTTGCAGGATTGTTGCACAGGTACACACCTGCCATGGTGGTTTGCTGCCTTCATCCCCCCATCACCTACCTCAGGCATTTCTTCCAATGTCATCCCTCTCCAACTTCTTCACCCCTGCTGTCCCTCCCCTAGCCCTCCACCCCTCAACAGGCCCCAGTGTATGATGCGCCCATCCCTGTGTCCATGTGTTCTCATTGTTCAACACCTACCTGCAAGTGAGAACATACAGCATTTGGTTTTCTGTTCTTGTGTCAGTTTGCTGAGAATGATGGTTTCCAGATTCATCCATGTCCCTACAAAGGACATGAGCTCATCTTTTTTATGGCTACATAGTTCTCCATGGTGTATGTGTGCCACATTTTCTTTATCCAATCTATCATCCATGGGCATTTGGGTTGGTTTCAGGTCTTTGCTGTTGTAAACAGTGCCACAAAGAACATACGTATGCTTGTGTCTTTATAATAGAACAATTTATAATCCTTTGGGTATATACCCAGTAACGGGATTGCTGGGTCAAATGGTATTTCTATTTCTAGATCCTGGAGGAACTGCCACACTGTCTTCCACAATGGTTGAACTAATTCACACTCCCACCAACAATGTAAAAGTGTTCCTTTTTCTCCACATCCTCTCCAGCATCTGTTGTCTTCGGATTTTTTAATGGATCACCATTCTAACTGGCGTGAGATGATATCTCAATGTGGTTTTGATTTGCATTCCTCTGATGACCAGTGATGATGAGCATTTTTTCATATGTTGGCTTTATAAATGTCTTCTTTTGAAAAGTGTCTGTTCATATCCTTGGCCCACTTTTGGATGGGGTTGTTTGTTTTTTTCTTGTACATCTGTTTTAGTTCTTTGTAGATGTTGGATATTAGCCCTTTGTCAGATGGGTAGACTGCAAAAATTTTTTTCCCATTCTGTTGGTTGCCAGTTCACTCTAATGATTGTTTCTTTTGCTGTGCAGAAGCTCGTAAGTTTAATTAGATCCCATTTGTCTATTTTGGGTTTTGCTGCCAATGCTTTTGGTGTTTTAGTCATGAAGTCCTTGCCTATGCCTATGTCCTGAATGGTATTGCCTAGGTTTTCTTCTAGGGTTTTCATAGTGTTAGGTCTTACATTTAAATCTTTGATCCGGCCAGGTGCAGTGGCTCATGCCTGTAATCCCAGCACTTTGGGAGGCCGAGGCGGGTGGATCACAAGGTCGAGAGATCGAGACCAACCTGGTCAACATGGTGAAACTCTGTCTCTACTAAAAATACAAAAAATTAGCTGGGCATGGTGGCGCGTGCCTATAATCCCAGCTACTCAGGAGGCTGAGGCAGGAGAATTGCCTGAACCCAGGAGGCGGAGGTTGCGGTGAGCCGAGATCGCGCCATTGCACTCCAGCCTGGGTAACAAGAGCAAAGCTCTGTCTCAAAAAAAAAAAAAAAAAAAAATCTTTGATCCATCTGGAGTTAATTTTTATGTAAGGTGCAAGGAAGGGGTCCAGTTTCAGCTTTCTGCACATGGCTAGCCAGTTTTCCCAACATCATTTATTAAACAGGGAATCCTTTCCCTATTGCTTGTTTTTGTCAGGTTTGTCAAAGATCAGATGGTTGTAGATGTGTGGCATTACTTCTGAGGCCTCTGTTCTGTTCCATTGGTCTGTGTCTCTGTTATGATACCACTACCATGCTGTTTTGATTAATGTAGCCTTGTAGTATAGTTTGAAGTCAGGTAGCATGATGCCTCCAGCTTTGTTCTTTTTGCTTAGGATTGTCTTGTCTATGTGGGCTCTTTTTTAGTTCCATATGAAGTTTAAGGTGGTTTTTTCCAGTTCTGTGAAGAAGGTCAATGGTCGCTTGATGGGGATAGCATTAAAACTAATCTATTTTCATATAAATCTCCACCCCTTCTACCTCCAATATTAGTTTGAAATAAATCGCAGGTATCATAGTATTTCATATTCATGAGTATTTCAGTATAGGTATCCCTAAAGGATTTTTTTTTTTAACGAGAAAAGCACACAAATTTATTTAAGTTTTATGTGACAGGAATCTTCATAAACGAAGATGCAAAGAAACAGGAAAACCTGTGTATTTTTATGTACAGTCTCATGCAGAAGTATAATCAGAGGACAAAAGGATATAATCTAACAATAATAAACTGTGGAGAACTCAGCAAGTCCTGTTTGTTCAGATTCTCCTTGGTGTCTCTATCTGTGAGGATAAAAGGTATCTCTGGAATAAAGGATTTATGATCTACTTTAGGGGAAGGTCACTTAGGTTTTATGGCCTGCTTCGGAAGGGAAGGTGTGAGAAACCTTGCTACTGCAGTTTTCTTAGATATCAGGGTGCAATATTTTGGGGTTGTATGCCCTGAATCCCATTAATATTAAGGGGGAGAGACTAGCTTAAATCTTTACTTGGATTCCAACTAAGTCATACCCACCCAAGGGGCAGAGGAGTGGTCATATATACACCTTCACATCTGGTCAGCTCCACAATGAGTCAGAAAATTGGTTAGAGATCTAAATCACAACAGAAAAAAAAAAATCTTTATTGCTACCAACTTGTCCCATCAAGAGAGTAAGATATACATATGTAAAGAGATAGAGTCATTCTGTCATCCAGGCTGCTGGAAGGCAGTGGTGCAATCATGAATCACTGCAGCCTCAAACTCCTAGGCTCATGTGATCCTCTCGCCTTGGTCGGGATTAAAGTGCTGGGATTAAAGGTGTGAGCCACAGCACCTGGCCAATTATACTTAAAAAAATATATTTTGACATGTATATTATCTAAAAGCATTTTTCACGAGTAGTTCTCCAGAAGTCCTAGCAAAAAGTATGCTTCAAAAACATTCTTTTTTTGAAGAACTCTAGCTAATAACAGTCTTTGAGTGAAAAGCCTTATTATGCTGCTGCTAATAACTGCAACAAATTTACCTTAGATTATTAAAAACTACTTTTTCTTAGAAAACTATAATTCAAGGAATCAGGCTTGGCTGCAGAAAGAAATGGAGTTGAGGAGTACTGTTAATTTTTCCAACTTGACCCTGGAACCATCAACAATGGTTTACTTTTTTGTTATTTATTTATTTTAGACGGATTCTTGCTTTGTCACCCAGGCTGGAGTGCAATGGTATGATCTCAACTTATTGCAACCTCCACCTCCCGGGTTCAAGTGATTCTCCTGCCTCAGCCTCCCAAATAGCTGAGATTACAGAGGTGTGCCATCAGGCCTGGCTAATTTTTGTATTTTTAGTAGAGACAGGGTTTCGCCATGTTGGTCTCGAACTCCTGACCTCAAGTGATCCACTCACCTTGGCCTCCCAAAGTGTTGGGATTACAGGCATGAGCCACTATGCTCAGTCTATTTTTATTTTTTATAAGATAGAAAATAAAAAGTTCAGGATAATTTTTTTTTAATTGAAAGAAAGAGAAAGCAGAAGGAAGGAAGGAGTTTTAATTTATTTTTTAAAGGAGAAATACAAAGAGCTTTAGTTGGTTTAAGTCTCTGTGAAACATTTGGTTTCTGCTTCCCAACTATACTGCCTATGCCACAACATACTGTGACCAATTCTACATACAACTCATGATTTGCATATCTCTTCTCTGTGTAGAAAAGAAACCAGGGATAGGTGCTTTCAAAGAGGAAGTAAAGAAAGGTTAGAGAATAGTCTAGCTGATGAAAGCTGATTTAAAAATCCTTTTCCAAATTCCCAAAACTGCCTTTCTAAAAGGACTCTCTAACATTCTTATTTTAATACCCTCTTGCAGCATACCTTGATTTCCAAGGTACTTCTGAAACCTAATTAAAATGGAATAGAAAGTGAATTCGGTGTTTTCTACCTAATTTTAAAATGAGAAACAAAAACTGTGTATTTATTATTATTATTTAAAAGTATGGAGCAAAATCAGGAGTACAGGGACCAGTACCAGAGCCAGCGAGAGTATATGGGTGATAAAGTGCTGAATAAATTGTTTTTAGAAATCAAGTTCATATGCTAAGGAAGAACTGGGGCAGAGAAGATTAAGCAAGCAAAAAGATGGGTTAAAAAAAGTAATATGAACTATTATGGACACACACACACACACACACACACACACACACACACACACACACACACCACCCCCAAAATGCTTTGAAGTGATTATGAAATCCAAGAATCCTAGTTCATAATTCATGTAAATGTGTTGCTGTGGAACTTATTTTTACTTCTCTCCATAAATAATTGTTGACACAAGAATAATATTCTCAGTTTTCTGACTATAGCTAAGGGACATTTCAGGAGTTGACTTTTCCTGAAAATAAAAAAAAAAAAATGGAAAGGAGGCTGTAAATGTCTCTCACTGCCCTTGTGCAGGTCTTAGATTTTACCCTACCTATTTCCAAATAAAACAGCAAGAGACTGAAGACAGCTGCAACCTAAAGAATAAGGGAGCTGTCAGTTTTTCACATCATTTTACCAGAATTCTTTTTTTTTCTGGTATTGCTGTTCTCTATGTATTATTAATCTGTATTTATATTTAACTTCTAGCTATTAGTCCGCCTCTTCCAGCCACTGAGCCATTTGCAAAGGAGAGAAGAGGGAGACAGGGTTGCTATTATTAGACATTTCCGTGTGTGATGAGGGTAGAGAAAATTAAATAACACAATTTTGCATCTGAAAATGACAGAGATTGTTTGGGGTGGACAACTCAGGGCTGGTTAACAAGACCTTTCCCCTCAAGAAGGTAAAACAATAGAGATACATTTTTCAAGTACTTAAGCCTTCAGCAGTGAGTGTGGGAAAATTACAGACCCGTAAAAACCCTCCAGTTCTAGGCAAGAGTAAATTTTCTTTGCAGTGCACTGTCATTGCTCATTTACTGCATCATTTTGACAACATCTTATATTTTCACAAGGCTTTTACATATCTGTAAACAGGGACAGAAAGGTGAGGAATACAGAGAACGGGAACAAAGTTTGGACCTCCCATGTTGTCACTACCTTTCATTTTTCCATTAAAGGGTGAGGCTGAAGGGTAGCATTTTAAGGTGACTTTGTTAAATGGCTGTGATGGTAATAATTGACACAGCAAGAGGAAAGCTGTGAAAGACTGCCACTGCTTGCTCACTCTTCCAAGGACGAGTGTAACTCAGTCATAATGAAGGCTCTTTAATGTTCCTGCCCCAAACCTTTTCCGATCAGGAAAGCCTGGAATCTGATTACCTTCTCTTAAAAAGTATCTCTTCTCTATGACCTTATCAAAAAACCTACTGAGCTTGACAGCATTGGAAGAACCTGCAGCTAAGTACCGTGGATTTGTGCAATCCAAATTAATCTCTTCTGCATTGAAATCCTCAGCCAGGAAAGCAGTCCTAGTTAAAACTTCATGGCGCTTTGTTTCATGAATCTGGTCCAGTTTAGTCCCTATTACCAACAGCGGTATTTGGTAATCAGCAAACTGTTCTCGATCATAATCCCCATTTGTCACCAAGACTCCAGTTGGCACTGAATCCCTGTTGAGAGCTTCCAATGACCAACGATACAAGTTTTGGGAGGATTTCTTATTTGTTAAGTCGTGTACTAAAATAATACCATTTACAGAGTTGTAGAATACTGCTCTTGTGCTCTTCACGCTGCTGGCACTGCCCACAGAGCCTCCAACATCCCATAATTCTATGTAGTAGGTCTTCTCTTCTGGGGTTCCTTCTTTGTAATCATGAACTCTGACATCCACTGAGCAGCCCACAGTCCATGATGGATTTCCCAGCACTTGATTTTGGCATAGAAGATGGACTAATGAAGATTTCCCAACACCTGAGTCTCCCAACACCAGTACCTTCACTCGATCCAGAGAGGCCATCTTGCCACTGCCTTCTCTAGGTTAACCCCCTAAAGGATTTTTTTAAATCCCATGTAATTGTAATATCATTTTATATCTTAAAATATTGAGGTTAATTTATTAATTACATCAAATATCCAGTTAATATTTGTATTTCCTTCTACCGTACAAATATTGCTTCTTTTTTTTTTTTTTTTTTTTTACTGGTTGTATCATCCTGGTGTCATTTAACATGTCTCCCTATATTCTCCGTAATGAAGTAGTTGTATATAATGTTTAATGCCATTATATGAGACACAGGTGCAAAAAGTTATTCCAACTAGATTCAGAGGTACTGTTTTTGTAAGAAGAGTTTTTAAAATGACAAAAAAGACTGTTAATAGGGTTTTAGATATAAATTATGTTTACCAATTACTCATGAATTCTTAGAAAGAATAAATAGTATCATTCTATGGTTTTTTAACTATTGTGAAAAAATTTGTTAGAGAAAACTTCAGAGATATATTTTGACAAACCCCATATTTATTGAGTCTCAAAGTCTGTTCAGGCCAGGCACAGTGGCTCATGCCTGTTAATTCCAGCACTTTGGGAAGCTGAGGCAGCTGGATCACTTGAAGTCAGACGTTCAAGACCATCCTGGCCAACATGGTATAAAACCCCATCTCTACTAAGAAATTAAAAAAAAAAAAAAAAATTATCCAGGCATGATGCTGTGGGCCTGTAATCCCAACTACTTGGGTGGCTGAGACAGGAGAATCGCTTGAAGCCTGGAGACAGAGGTTGCAGTGAGCTGAGATTGCGTCACTGCACTCCAGCCTCAGTGACAGAGCAGGACTCGGTCGCCAGGCGCGGTGGCTCAAGCCTATAGTCCCAGCACTTTGGGAGGCCAAGGCAGGTGGATCACAAGGTCAAGAGATCGAGACCATCCTGGTCAACATGGTGAAACCCCATCTCTACTAAAAATACAAAAAATTAGCTGGGCATGGTGGCGCGTGCCTGTAGTCCCAGCTACTCAGGAGGCTGAGGCAGAAGAATTGCCTGAACCCAGGAGGCGGAGGTTGCAGTGAGCCAAGATCGCGCCATTGCACTCTAGCCTGGGTAACAAGAGTGAAACTCTGTCTCAAAAAAAAAAAAAAAGTGTTCAAAAATACAGCAGTAACTTTTTTTTTTCCCTGAGGCAGGGTCTCACTCTGTCACCCAGGCTGGAGTGCAGTAGCACGATCTCAGCTCACTGCAACCTCTGCCTCCCGGGTTTAAGCAATTCTCTGCCTCAGCCTCTTGAGTAGCTGGGATTACAGGGATGTGCTACCACACCCAACTGATTGTTGTATTTTTAGTAGAGATGGGTTTTCACCATGTTGGTCAGGCTGGTCTCGAACTCCTGACCTTGTGATCCGCCCACCTCAGCCTTCCAAAGTGCTGAAATTACAGGCGAGAGCCACTGCACCCAGCCTTACAGGAGTAACTTAATGGTTTCACACTAATAGCCTTTTATTTTTGAAAGTATTTTGTTAAACTATGTCAGAACATGTTCTGTTGTTTGTTGTTCTATTCTTCGTACTTTTTTTTTTTTTTTTTTTTTTTTTTTTTTGGCTTGAGACAGAGTTTCACTCTTGTTGCCCAGGGCGGAGTGCAATGGTGCAATATATGCTCACTGCAACCTCCACCTCCTAGGTTCAAGCAGTTTTCTGTCTCAGCCTCCTGAGTAGCTGAGTAGCTGAGGTTATAGGTGCCTACCACCATGCACCAGCTACTTTTGTATTTTTAAGAAGTGAAGAGGTTTCACCATGTTGGCCACGCTGGTCTCCAACTTCTAGCTTCAGGTGATGAGCCCACATCGGCCTCGCAAAATGCTGGGATTACAGGCAAGAGCCACTGCCTTTTAAAAATTGTGGCTTTTCCTGGCTTTTAAAAATCAGTATTATTGTCATAAACATAAAATGATTTTGTGTGAGAAAGTAATTATAATTGACAGAGAAAATAGTTGTTACATTTGACTTTTACTGCTAACCAATTTAAAATAATTTTCCTTGTTTTTAAAAATCAGTATTACTGATATAAACAAAGTGATTTTTACTTAATAGAGTACTTATTCACAGAGAAAATAGTTAGATTTTACTTTTACTGGTAACCAATTTGAAAAATAATTTTTATTTTAAAAATTGGTTTTATTGCCATAAACAAAGTTTTTTGTTTTTTGTGTTTTTTTTAAGAGACAGGGTTTCACCACCATGTTGGCCAGGATGGTCCTGATCTCCTGAACTTGTGATCCGCCCACCTCGGCCTCCCAAAGTACTGAAATTACAGGCGTGAGCCACCGCACCCAGCTGTTTTTGGGGTTTTTTTTTTAAGACAGAGTCTTACTCAGCCCCCTAGGCTGGAGTACAGTAGTGCGATTTCAGCTCACTACAACTTCTGCCCCCCGGTTCAAGAGATTCTCCTGCCTCAGCCTCCCCAGTAGCTGGAACTACAGGCGCATGCCACCACACCCAGCTAATTTGTATGTTTTTAGTAGAGATGCGGTTTCACCATCTTGGCCAGGATGGTCTTGCCCTTGTGATCTGCCCACCTCCCAAAGTGCTGGGATTACAGGTGCGAGCTACTACACCTGGCCAACAAAGTTATTTTTCTGCAATGTTTACTTATAATTTACAGAGAAAATAGTTATATTAGATTTTACTTTTACTGCTAACCAATTTGAAAAACAATTTTATTTAAATAAATTTGTTTAACAAATTCTTCATTCAGAGGACTGTTCAAAGAATCTTTATAGTCATCTTCATCTTTATAGTCATCCTCAATCTTTATAGTCAATCTTTACAGTCATCCTCATCTCTGTTTTTGTATTTATTTTTTTCCATAGCTCTTCAGTAGGTTACTTGCAACATCCAGGATCAGAACAAATACAGTTTCCTCAAACCACTTCACCATGCAATTCCCAGCAGCTTCAAGGCCACCAGTGTACAGGTATGAAGAGATCATTGAATAAAAATAACGATTTGTTCATGTGAGAAATAGTTCAATTAATTTCCTTAGGCATTTCTACAAAAAGGTTCTCAATTTGTGATGTGCTGAGATACACCCAAAATATTTAGGGTGCTCTACTGAAACGTGCATTCTACTACTTCCTTTCCTACTACTGCTGCTATCACACGTCTGTCCTGATTCTTCTTTCTCAGAAGCACTGATATTCTCTAGCATTATTTCCTATGCATTCCTCTCATTACTCTTCCAGCTGTTCTTGTTTACTCCAGCTTATTTTTAGGATAAGTGAGATGTTTAGGCCTACAGAGTCCATTTTAATGCCTGTTTAAACACACAGTGCAATTCACTAGGGCTTCAACCTGGTTGTCTTAGTTAAGTGTAAAATTTTGTTGAGACATGAAAGATTACTACTGTTATCCTAGTGTTCAGACATACCAACTGGTTGCTAACATATACTGACTGTAGTGTCTTATTCTGATTTTCAGCTGTGCCACCACCGCCACCTGGTGGAGGGATGGTGATGATGCAGCTCAGTGTACCAAACAATCCACAATCTTGTGCCCACTCACCCCCGCAGTGGAAACAAAACAAATATTACTGTGATCACCAGAGAGGACAGAAGTGTGTAGAGTTTAGCAATGTAGACAATATTGTCCAGGTAAGATGCTTCTGTTCATTATCATTGTGAAATGTTACTTTTTTGTTATACAAGATTTGACCTATATAAAGCTTGAATTTGAAATCCTATCAAGCAGATTAAGAAGATAATTTGGGCCGGGCATGGTGGCTCTCCCCTGTAATCCCAGCAGGGGAGAGCCACGTGGGAGGCTGAGGCAGGGGGATTACCTGAAGTCAGGAGTTCAAGACCAGAGTGACCAACATGGTGAAACCCCATCTCTACTAAAAATACAAAATCAGCCAGGTGTGGTGGCACATGCCTGTAATCCCAGTAAGGCTAAGGCAGAAGAATCATTTGAACTCAGGAGGCAGATGTTGCAGTGAGCTGAGATCGCACCATTGTGCTCCAGTCTGGGCAACAAGAGTGAAACTCCATCTCAAAAACAAAAAAAAAAGAGAAGAAAGAGAATTTAATTCAGTATTTAAGTATTATTTGCTAACTTCTGCATATTCAAAAACTGTTTTTTAACTTTAAAAGAAAAACTAGGCCAGGCGCGGTGGCTCAAGCCTGTAATGCCAGCACTTTGGGAGGCCGAGGCGGGTGGATCACACGAGGTCGACAGATCGAGACCATCCTGGTCAACATGGTGAAACCCCGTCTCTACTAAAAATACAAAAAATTAGCTGGGCATGGTGGCACGTGCCTGTAATCCCAGCTACTCAGGAGGCTGAGGCAGGAGAATTGCTTGAACCCAGGAGGCGGAGGTTGCGGTGAGCCAAGATTGCGCCATTGCACTCCAGCCTGGGTAACAAGAGCAAAACTCTGTCTCAAAAAAAAAAAAAAAAAAAAAAACTAGATCTAAAATTTGATAAAGAAAAACAAGCGTTTGTCCTACCTTTCCCATTTGACTATATATTAATGTAACCAAATAGTTGATAAGGGAATGTTCTTCATAGAAGAATCCAATTAGTAAATGCAGAAGCAGTGGTAGAATTAGAAAGTTGCCAGAAAATCATCAGCAAATGCAAAAATATTAGATTAAAAAGTTTTGGTTGAGAAGCTGCCTTCTTAAAAGAAAAAAAAGTTTTGTGGGATATTTTAAATGGATAGATTAGACAGAGAGCCCTGAACCCACTGATCAATTGGAACATCACTAAAACTGGGCCAGCCAAACATTTACCTTTTAATGTGGTATATAGAAGGAAGTACACAGCATTACTTGTGAGACACTCTTATGAAATTTGGACCTGAATCTGTTCAAGCCTCTAACCTTAGCTACTAGTTTGTGGGAAATATAGGAAGAAACAAAAACAAATTACGTGATACCAGTGGGATATTTTACTGGACAAATTGCCCCTGTTAGTTTATTAAATGACATTTTGAAATAGAAGCTTGGTCTGTTACACATTAAAAGAGACTTGAGAGATAC